GGGCCCCCGGCGCAGGTAGGGCTGGGGACACCCACGGGGCTGGGGCTGGCGTTTCTCTTGGCGAGCCGGCCGAGCAGCAGCGCGAGTTTCTTTCGGGGGGTGCCGGTGCCGCCGTGGGGCACTTTCTCCTAAACCCACTTTCTCCTCTGCGAAGTTCAGGGCGCGGCGGTTCGCGCAAAAGATGCGTTTGTGAAGGTCGCCGGGCGTTTCTGTGGAAAGCTTTCGGTTGTCCTAAACGCAGAGCGGACCTCGAGGTGCATAGCGAGAGCGATGTTTGTGCCTGCATGTATATGGGCATGGCCTGCACATGAAAGTGCCCATCTGCTTAATAACTTGACTTGGGTCCAGCGTACGTCTTTCAGCACGAGCTGCCTAGAAGAATTCACAGTTGTGTGGCAGTATCCTGTACGGATTTTCTTGTTGGCTCCGATCATCGCAGTGTAAAGATTTCCTATTTTTGTTTCAGCCAAGACATAGGCTCAAACTGGAAACGTAGGCACAAATCAATTAGGGGAAAAAATGCAGCTGCCTTTCCTCGAATGAGCTGGGAATATAGTTTCATTTGTAATCTTACACATTGCTTAAGTGTTGTTTGCCAGTCATTGAGTACTTCCATGTAGTCAAAGCAGACGCGTAATTCCTGTATCATTTACAGCTTTTTCATCAGGTACGTACTTCTGATTATAGGGGAGGTTTAAAGCCTCCATTTGGAATAGGCCATCAGTACTGAAGAGCTTTCCTAGCATATTTATTTGCTTAGGTTTTTAACTCAGCTTTGGCAAGAGCAGTTTGGAAGCAGACTTAACATGATGACTTTGTTTAGGAAAAATGTTAGTGTCCAGCCACTTGGGAAAACAACAACAACACAAAGCCTGGAGAGTGAAATTTGTTTCCCAGCTACTGACCTACGCTGAAAAGTCTTGGATGCTTTGACTGAGCAGCGTGTCTGATGTGAGACTGAAACTGAAGGCTGGCTTCAGTCAGTACCCCTGAATGGCATTTGGGTCCCGTAACAAAATAATGGGAGGAAAGCAGACATAATTAGCTATGTACTTTTTTCTGGAAGTGCAGGGGGGGTGTGCAACTGCCCGAGCTGGGAAGAGAATTTGGGAAAGCAGCAGCCTGGGTGGGCAAATTAGCTATATTGGTTGCTACTCAATGGCAAACGACATGGAGTTAGGAAGCCTGTTTTTGTTTTCCATCTCAAGTCAGAAATGCCAGCTAGGCAGATGTGCTCCAGAATTTCTTAATAAGCTGGACAAACAATGTAATTTATGCCCAAATTTCTGTGTGTTTGCTCATATAACCGATGCTCGTGTACAGCCTCAAAATGTGGGGCCTTATAAACTAAAACTTATTTCATTTTTGTTACCCCCAAAAAAAAAGTTATCACTGCATGTCCTTGTCGTATGATCAAATTTAAATGCAGGTCACTCCCACGAGAGGTGAATCAGTTTGTATTGCGACAGTGCTGGTTGATAATAACGCTCTGGATAGGGCATGGTATTGAACTCTTCTTCTTTAAAGGTGCAACTGTAAGTGTGCAGTCTTACACGTTGAAATAAGTGTTAGGTAAAAGCTGAGTAGTTCACAGGATTGGCAGGATTGAATTTTCTAGCTCTAACTCACTGATTCAAATGCATATCTTGCAAAAAGCTCTCACCTGCTGGCTGCTCAGTGACCTATGTGAAGTGAGCTGGTTGTATCTATGTAATTTCTCTTGAAATCGCTTGCCAGAGTTGATGTGTGTTGAGTATTAGGTGGTGAAATGGTCCAGAGTCTGCCCTGTTCTCCAGGGGCTGTGCTGTGACCATGCTAGCTTTGACTCGCCACAGGCAGCACCAGTGGCAGAAACGGAGCTGCCTTTTCCTCAGAGACGGGGACAGCAAAGACATCCCAGCCCTGCCTATACCGTGAGTTTTATACCATTTGCTTCCCTAGTGGAGCTGCTCTAGCTGAAATATGCACAGCTAATGCCTACACTTAAAATGCAATTAAGAGCGTGGGATCATTTCCTGAGAGCGTGAAGGCTGGGAGGAGGGTGTGCAGGGCTGATAGTGGTGAACAAGCTGTTCCTGACTTGCAGGTAAACAGAAAAGTCTGGCCTAATGAGCAGTCCCTCAGGAACTTTGGTAACTACTGTTTTTCACAAAAGGACCTATTCTGATAAATGAGGGCATACATCTAGGGAAGCAAACGCCGTTTAACAAAAGCAGTTAGCTCAGCTATGCAAAAAAACACAGGAACCATGCATTAACATATTTAAGTTTGATTAACATCTAACAGAGTCTGGAGTGGGCTTTTGACTGCAGCTGGTAAGGGTTCCTTGAATTTATATTCAGATTACTTGGCAGGAGTTTTGCACTATGTCTCTGCATACCTTTTTGTTTTCTAGGCATTTGCACTTCTTTTCATTAGGGAAAGTAAGTAGCTTTTGAGAAGGAGGGGGGGGGAACAGGATCTTTGCATATGTGCTACAATTTTAGTCAAAAACTGAGATAGGTTGGGTTTTTTTTTCCTGTAGGACACACTGTAACACTGATTGTGATTCAGCATGTTCATCTTTTTGTAATGAAATACAGTACCTAGTGATAGACATCCTCTGTAAACCTTTTCTTAGGTTTGGAATGAACTGGAGTAATGGAATTATGGACAAGGTTCTGGCATCCTTATTCCTGTTAAGCGGTACCTCACTCGATGAATGATCCCAGTGGCACCAGACTGCACTATTTAGTAGCTGTTATTGTGTCATTGTCAGCAAGTCTAATAGAATTTGACCCTGATTTTTAATATTTTTAAAAGATTAGTGTTTCAGTAATTCTTACCTTTGCCTTTGAAAATTTGAAATATGCACTAGAATCAGTATATAGCTTATAGTTTTAAGTATATATAGTATAGTATATATACTTATATATAAGTATATATAGTTATAGCTTAACTATAACCCCATTTTTTTTTGTCTATGAGAGTATCAAGACACAGATTCTTCTAAATGCTTTTCTGATGAAATGAGTGTGTACTCTCTAAGCCACCTGTCATGAAAAATAGGAAGAGTATTCTGGGGGGTGGGATTGGCTTTACTAGAACAGTTTTATTGATTGTGTCAGCATTCCTGTTAATTAACTCATTCAGACTGTCTGATCTGTAACTGATGTTTTGCCTGTGTAAAGGTTTAAGGTTCATTCCTTTGGATGTGCGCATTAGGTTTGTATTAAAATGTAGGCAGGCAGCTCTTCCTGTTTTATCTGTCTTTTGGATCTGATTATCAAAGAAATTAGTCCATAGGCAGCGATGAGATACTAATTCTCAGCCCTTTTGATGTGCGAGACAGTGAGAGAGTATGGATCTGGGAATCAAAAAATACCATTTTAACTTGGACACTAACTCACTATGTGATCTCAGGAAAGATGATTAATCTTTCTTCTATCGCTGTAAAAGAGTTCTTCTAATGCTACTTAATTCTTTTTACAGAACAGAAAGATGCAAGTTAACTCTTGCGAAGTAGTTTGAATACGACGACTTTATATTAATGTTTGTCCTGTTTGCAGTAGAAACACTAGGACTGCTAACAGCTGTGGTACTGCTGTAGTGTCCCACTACTCTAGTCACAGGGGTTGTAGAAACAGCCAAAAACGAGAGCAAGAACAAGCTCAACAATGATCCCACCTTAAGAGCTTTATAGTCTAAAATTTAAGACAAAAGACAATGGGAAGAAGAAAGGGCAATGAAACCATGAAACCAGCTGTCAAGCTACGGTTGTATTACTGTTCACAAAAATCATAAAAACGAAAGTGTTAAAAGGGATTAATGCCAGGGCTTTTCAGGTGTTAAGAGGTGGTGTCTGCCAAGCAGGAGGCTTCAGATAGGAGACAGCACCAACATTCTCGTTTGCAAAATGAGTATGTTACCAGTTAAGTCTGGTACCATGGTTCTGCCAAAGAAAGAGTCACCTTCTTGGTGAGTATGAGAAACGAGAGGCAAAAGGAAAGGTACCGTGAAAGACATGGGATTTGAAAACAGGAAGCAATTGAGATAGTGTGGCCAGTGAAATAACAGACATGTTATTGCTTGGAAATAAGATAATCTTTGTGGGAGAGTCTGAAAGTACATGAAAAGGCATCAATCAAGTTACTGATCAGTGGAAAAGAAGCTGCAGTAGCCAAATGGGTGACAGAATAGGTAAGACTCTTATGTGTATGGATATAAAGCCATAATTTGGATATTTGCAGGAAATATTCTGAAGATTTGAAGTCTGAATGTGTGAGTACTCAGAGAGGGAGCTGAGTCAGAGCTGATTCACCTGTTACTGGCCTGAAGGACTAAAAGGATGGTGGTCCACACTGATGTGGAAGGCACACAGAAGGGAGAAGAGTAGTACGGCTGCAGCAAACCAAAGCTCATATCCCAAGGAGAGGTAAATAAAATAATATGGGACTGTAGAAGAATCATGACGTCAGAGGGATACAGAAGGCGGGGTTCGTATTTGTGGGTGGCATTTCTCAGGTGGGAGGTGAGGGGCCAGTTCCCCAGCCTGGTGGCCCCGCTCTTGAGTCCCGCTAGCCTGAGGGCTGCGGTGTGCATCAGGAGGACCTTTGGGAGGATGTGTTTGAAGGGGAGACAGAAGAGGTAAAGAACAGAGAGGTTGTAGCAGCTAAAGAAAGAAAGCGTGATCAAAACAAAGAGGATGAATTATGTGTAGGGCAACTGACAGGTCGATGAGCAGCAGCAGGATGAATATCGACTCTGAGTTCACCAGAAGAGCTTATATGTTGCTTTAATAGGGGACTGCAAAGGAAGAAAAACTGAACTGGCCAGGAAACAACAAAAAAATGGTAGTTTGTTTTTTGATGCCTATTACCAATTTTTTCTGAAAGAAGACATTGTCTTTTTAAAGCGTTGCATACATTGCAAGCATTATGCTATGAGTTCTTGTCGAGTCTCGCTCATCTCCTTTAGGGGCAGGTTCTGTTAGTCCGCTCCAAAGTGAGTAGCACTTCATTCCAGAAGTAATTGTACAAGGGAAATATGTGCAGCACAAAATGCTTGAGAGAGACAGTAACAGCAGTAGGATGTAGTTCTTTACATATCTAGGTCTTAGCCTCGTGAGAAGATTTTGCCTTAATGAAAACAAACACATCCGTGGAAAGTCTCAATGAGTTCAGGACATTCACAGCATATTTTGAACTTTCTTCTTTACAGAAATCTTACTTAGCTACTTTTGAGGACTTTCATAAGAAAGAGTCTCATGGGCAATCTGTGGTGACAGAGCTCAGTGAGTTTAAAGGATTTAAATAGAAAGAAATATTGTTGTCATCTTTTAGGTTACTCATACTTTGTAGAAATATTTTAGTATAAATTTTTATCTTGCAGACACTTTTCTGAGATACAGGAGCCATATATTCGAGGTGGTGGTAACTTTGACTTAGTCTTTCTTTCCCCTGTTCCCCACTGCTGTTTGGAATGAAATCCTTCCCTATCCAAAGGGCTTATAGGAAGTAATAGTGAGATTATCAGCCATAGCATGCAGGGCGTGTGGCAATACAGCATGGCAGAACTCTGCAGTTCTGCTGCTGTGCTCACCTGCGGTGTGGGACCTGCTTGAAAGCTTCCCAGCTCCTGCTCTGCCTGTGTGTTGGGGTTTCTTTCCACAGGGAGCCCGTGGGCACCGGGGAAAGCTGAACAAGGCGATCCAATTTTGACATGCAGCTGGGACGCGGTCATAATTCATATCTAAGTATCAGGACTGCAGGGTGCATCTGCCTTGCATTATAGATACAGCCGGAACAGTAAGGTTAGCTAGGAGAACAAAGGAGGAGGAATTTGCAGCTGCAATGCTGCACATGTCTTCCCTGAAACTGTTTTTAGGGGGATCCTGCTATCATGGTGGTATACTTATGACCACACATACTGCAAAAGGTGAATTAAACATGACTATCCAACTTATTTCTATGTTTTTGCTCTTGTTGGCTTCATTCAGGGCTTTTGTACCATGGCAGTCTATTTTTATTAACCATGTGACTCAACACATTTGCTTTTGGTTTTGATTCCTGCATAATGATTTAAATGGTGGCTATTTTATGTTATGTGCCTCTTTCTTGGTGTGACCTATAGAGAAGTTTTAGAATCAGTTGATTTGGATGAGAGATTGTGAAAACTTATTTTTAAAGTTTTAGAATTGCCAAACTGACTACTAAAAAGGAGCAAAACAGATTTGATCACCACCGGCTTCTACCAAAAAGAGCCCCGAGAGTGAATGTTTTGTGTGAAAGCATGCCTTGCAGTTTAAGCCTGAAGTGACAATGATTGTGACACAACACTGTTCATGTGACAGCTAGACAAAGAGGCCATTATGCATGGCTGGCCTGCGTCAGATCCTCCCAAAGCCAGTAGTCAAACGAAACTTGGTAGCCCCGAGAAAGTGAGTACGCTAGCAGCAGCTCCATATTGAAAAAGAAAAGACATGCACGTGTCTGTATATGCATGCGTGTATGCCAAGGTCCAGTTACGGTGTAGCTAAAAAATGGTGTAATAGGTTTGTGTATGTCTTTTTTTTTTTTTTTTTTTTTTAATAAGCTACTTTTATGATTCAGGAAATAATAGATGATACAGAATTGGGAACAAACATGCTGAAAATAAGACAGTATATGTCACGAGACCAAGTAGGTCTTTCAGTTCCTTTGCCTCCAACTACGAGATCGTTTCCTACAGTGTGCTTTTGAGCCTATATAATTGAGTTACAGTTTCTGCTGAAGTGTTTACAGAATTTTGGACCGCATCTGCCTGTCAATACACACTTGCTATGATCAGAACTTAAGCACAAATTAACCTTATGTGTATTTGTGGGGAGTCACTTAAAAAACCTTCTTCAAAGGGCTCAAGACGAAAAGAAAAGTCCCTGACAACTTGTAGGCTGTGGCAGTCTTGGCCCCAAAGGCAGCGTACTTGCGTCACCCGTTGTAAATCTATTTAAAAAATAGGATAAAGCAGCTGGAGTGGAAAGCTCTTCAATTAGGAATGTGTCTGTTCAAAAACAACTGTTTCCCTTTTGTTGCCCTGGGGGCTGGATTCTGGTCTTGGTGGTACCTGGTGCCTACCATAGCCATTTGGGATGACACCAAGCAGAGGACTTTTTGCCTCCTTCTGTAACTACTGCCTTACTTTACCTATCTATGTTTGTTTGTTTATTTTTTAATTCTGATTGAGGACTCTATCTAGTCTTTGCTTTTGAACGGCACTTGCTCCTAAACACTTAAGGGAAATGTGATTTACAGAGAAGTCTTTGCCTGTTTGTTTGTTGATATATTGTACTAGCATGAAATCAAGTTAAAAATGAGTTAAATTCCTTTAACGTCACTTTAGGTCCAAATATGCGTTTTAATTTTGCTGTGACTCTTTTGAATACAGAGCTTCAAAATACGAAGTTATTTCGTATTCTGCAGTTGTTGTGTTTATAGTGACACATTTTTCCCCACTTTGTTTACACTTTCCTAGTGAATATTTTACTTTAGAGAAGCTTTGAAGTGGTAAGAGAAATCATAAAGCATTTTTTGCAACTGGCAGCAGAATTGTATTAAATAATTCATCATGTTATTTATTCAGTCCTCTGTCATTAGGCTTGCTTGTGGAGGACTTTTGTCTGTGCTTTTGGGAGAGGCAGTCACCAAAATTACTTATGCCTATATTAAGAGTTTCATGCTAGCAAAAATTAGGCTGAAGAACATTAGGCTGTATTTTGCATTTGTTGTAGAAACATCAGAAAACACTGTATATAGATAATTCTGTTTGAATGTACATGGTGTAAGTGCCTTAAGCACTGATGATTTTGTCACTTCCATCTTCACAAGTAAAGGGCCAGGCTGTGTTCCCGCTCCATCCAGCCATGTACTCGCTTCTCCCACCAGTGAGCCCTTCGTTGACCCTGCTGACTCGGCCATCCTGACCGTCAGGAGTGCTTACGGGATCTGGGATCCCTATGGACTCAGCACTTACACTCACAAATTGCTCTTTGTGCCAAGTTGTTGTGTTCAAGGGTTAAAATTAATTAGCTTAACGGTTTTTGTCTGAATTTTACATGACAATAAAAATCCCAACGGGTTTTGGCCTGATGCTTGGGATGTTTTCTGATGGTTTTGCTTTTTTCTTTGACTTTAGCGTGCCTGAGGGACAGTGCAGAGTCTCACTGCTCCTGGGAAAATACTAGGAAGCGTTTGGCTTCGGGGACTAAGGCTAGTGTGATTAGACTCCTGACCAGCTCCTTTCTCCAAGGTTTAAATTGTATGTTTTGATAAATCTTAATGGAGGGAAAAAAAGCAAGGATACTACCCAGCTGGTGTCAGAGAGAGATGAAGCTGTTGGTAAAAGAAATTCGTTCCATTGATTAGAGAAACCTTTCGGGAAGAGCAATCACGCTGGCAGAGCGCAGCCAAGTAAGTTAGGTTAATAAATGCTTCTTCCCAAGAGTAGAGCTGGATTAGACAGACTGTTTTTTTTAAACAGTCCTCAAGAAAAAGATCAGTGATCTTTTTATTTTTATTTTTATTTTTTTAAGCTGTGTTAGAACGGTGCCAGGCTGCATAGAAGCCAGCCTTTCCTTTTCTCTTGCAAGCACTATGGAAATGACACTTGTGATCTGTCTGTGCTGTATTTCTGTATTTACAGCATGTTTGTAGGCCACAGCACAGCCTTATTACTGCAGTGGATTTTAATTATCCATATAATTACTTTTTTGTGCATAAGAACCCTTTTGATTATAATGTCACTACTAATGTCTTAAAAAAAAACCCATGTCGTATGAAACAGGAAATTGTCCTTCTCCTAAAGATAGCAAAGCAAACAGCCTCTGGATTCTGAAGTCCAGAGTTTCTATGTGGCCTTTTTACTCAGCTGAAGGAAAATATTTCCAAATAGTGGCATTTAGATTTGGACAAGTGACCTCATGTCCAAAGTATGTTTCACTGTTCAGATCACATCTGCTTGTACCATGTTTGTGATTGGGACCACAATAGATTAGGACACTTGACTAAGTATTTCAAAAATTATGGGTAGGGCATAATGTTGAGATGGCGCTGTATGATTCTTGCTTACTGTTTGCAATTTGGTATGAGCATCAGTAGCTGTCATGACATGAGCTCCCACAGCCTCATTTGCAGTGAGGTCCTCCGGTACTTTTGGTAGTGTCTGACATTGAAAGTGTCTAAATTACTGTATTGTGTGACATCAAAAATACAGGGAACTTTGAAACTCTTGAAATCTTCATTTTTATATTGTAACTAAGAGACTCTCAGGAAACTAAACTCTTTGCCATCTTTCCGTGAAATCTTTCTGAAGCGTTGAATCAATTGTGTTCAACCATTCTCCCGTTAGAGTGCACTCATATTCTTGGTTTATATCCTCTCCAGAGTATCTCTTACTTTC